GAGCAGGGGGACCAGGGGGTGGAAGTATTTGGTTTTTTTGTTTTAAAGTTTTTAATACAGGACAAAGCGCCGCAACTGATAGTGTCGCAAATGATTTTTTTTAATTTAAAAATCTATATAATAAACTCTTCGCTCATATATATGTTAGATTTAGCTTGCCAAACGGCAAGACCAAATGTGCTGATATCTTATAGAAAACCCATGGGTGCACCAAGGGTAAAATAAGCTGAAAAATTTAATTTTATTAAATCGAAAAATTATTTGAGAAAAAAATTTACTTTTATTATTTCAAAATACACAAAAAGCATTTATTATTCTATCAATCAGATTTATACCAGAAAGCTTTTTAAATTCCGCCAACAAAATTGACAACAAATGTTGTTAGATTGTTGATTGCATTTACACATTATATAACAGTTAGTGTTAGAGCATTTGTTTTAGTTTTTATACTTCTTTAGTTCCTCGCAAATCTTTTAAAATACAGGTTTACTCACAAAAGATGAGACTTTAAAGACTGTAAGCTTTTAAAATATGAAATTTTCAAGGTAACCTTTGTCGTCTGTCCTGAATATTGTCATTGAATGGCAAATTAATGATTTGGAAAAGAAAGGTAGTTTACATGGGCAGCAGACAAGTAAACAAACAATATTAATTTCGTATGCTCTCATCGTTTGTGGGTAACCCTGTGCTTTTCTCGATATCCACTGTGGGCAATTTTAAATTTGAAAATAAATGCTTAATCCCTTCATTAAAGTTGTCCCGCCAGGATATGACCGCAACGCGATAACGAAGATGAATTAAATATATCCGTAGGTCTGCATAAAATGGAGATCAATGCTTGATCACAACAACAAATCCAGAAATTTTGATTTCTCAAAGAAGGCAAGACCTCATCATGGAAAGCTCAAAAGTTGTACAACCGCATCGATACCTAAGTACCTAATTACCAAAACACCTAAATACACAAACACACCCAAATTTTGTACGCTCAGCAGTTAGGAACCCTAGCTACAAATCCTTAAATTTATACTGCATTGCTGTTTTAACCTTTGCATTTTTATGTCAAAAACAAGTTTTTTTTNTTGTTTAAAATGTTTGAAAATAAATCATCCATTTTCTCTAATTTAACAGATAAAATGTGAAAAATTAGATTCTAGAAATAATTATGAAGTGAATTTAGTCTTTATATGATAATTTTGTTTTCAGTGATTTATTTTGTAAGTTGTGAAAGTGAGTTTTGTTTTGAATTGTGGATTATACTCAAAAACGGGAAAGTGTTTTTTGTCTCAAAAACGCGACAATGCTTCAAAATCAGGATATGTTCGAAAATGGAAAACCTAACATTGTCTTAAAAACGGTCAAGATCTTTATTATAAAAAGAATTCCTATTATAATTTTGATTTAAATTTAAAAAGTTTAAAATTGAGAATTGTTTAATGAAATTTTGGTTATAGTTTAAATTATCGACTTTTACTCTTGATATGGTCCGGGATCCCGAAACCCCAGTCTTTCATTTTGTGCTCATTTCTAATACTATGTGTTAGAAATGGGCCAAGTGTTAGTTTTGGAATTAATGTCCCCTAAAACGAAAACGATTCTTTAAATGTTTCTTGGAACACCTTGTGAGCCGTAGACAACATGAAAATGGACATAATGCCAAATTAACGAAATCGCTTCTCAAATATTGGATCGATAATGAAATCGTTAAAATATCTTTATTAAAGATTGACAATCCCTTTACCAGGGTTAAATCATGGAAATAAATATTAAATTTATACCTTGCGCTTAACTCCTCTCTTCGCAACCTCTCCTAAAATAAAAAAATGTTAGTCTCAGTTCCAGGTTTAGATACAGGGTTACCCAAAAAAGATGAGTGTAAAGACGACCAAAAATTCTTAAAATATTAGATTACAAGGTTAAATTAAGTATGCGTTCTTAGCAGTAATATAATGGGTTTTAATGATTTGGCAAAAAAAAAACAAGTTTACAGTTGCAGGGAATCGTGAATTTAAGGAAGAAGACAAAAAATCCGCACAATTGTCTCTGAAGTCTAATCCTTGGTGGGTACCTCTGTATAAAATGATATTCACAGAGAATCGGTCAATTTCAATAAATGACATTTCCAATTGCTCTGAGTTTTTACGATCTGTTCTGTTCATCTATCCTTTCCGATTCTAATTTTAATAATTTGGTTTCATCTGTATTCTGTGAATACTGAACTAATTAAAATATCTTCTTAGTACAGAGCTAATGGTTTAAGTGTTCATCCAAAAAAATCTAAGTTTATCATCTTTAACAACAATGATCCTGGTGAAACGAATTCCTCTAAAATTTCTAAAATCCAGCGAATCTCAGACACTTCGCTCCCATGTTAACTCAATCTGTTCTATCCCATGGATATGTAATATAAGTCTATCTATTGTCTAAGCCAGGTCAAAAATTTACTTGACATAAGTGCTTATTCATTTTGCGCACATTCAATCCCATCTTAATTGTTGCAGTAACATTTTTTCTCTTCCTTCTAAAAAGGATCTCATTTAGAGTTCAGACCCTACAAAAAAATCTGTACGTCTAGTCTGCAATAAGAGTTATAATTTTCACACTGCCCCACTTTTTTTAAAACTGCCATAGTCCCTTTCCAAGATCTAGTACAAGTAAATTCCCTGTTTTATGTACGAATATAGATTAAATCATCATTTAATAATTCATGGAGTTTGAACAGGGATACAGACCCCCAAAATATGCTAAGAAATGGCGAAGACTTTGCAATTCCACGATTAAAGTACCAGTATTTAAAATCACATCCTCTTTTTTATTTTCCGAATTTATGGAATAAATTTAAACCGGTGTTTAAAAATAGCCTTGTTAACAGCTCAACGTTTTCCAGTAATTTAAAATCTTATTTTCTACACAAACTTGATGAAAGCTATAGCATAGATTGTAACTGTTATTTATGCACTGTTTAGTTTGCTTGTACCCAGGGTCTAAGTACAAAACCTTCTTATAATATATTGCTTTGTTGTCTATTATTCTCTAGGTTTACTTAAGCTCTCATGATCGGACCTACACAGAACCCTAACACAAATATTTACCTCTCATAGCATATATCTTACGCGACATAAATCTCAAGTTTTCAGGGACCGGGACCCGACTGCCAGAACCAGAGCTCTCCGGCTTTTCCGGCACTGTAAAAATCATAGAACTCATCAATGTGTTTTTAACCCTCGTAAATGTATATTTATTTATTTATTATTAGAAGACGATCGTCTGAGATGAAATATAGTTTGTTGCATTCATTTGTCAACCTAATTACTATTCTATATAGCCATGTCACTTTTCACAAAGTCTGACTTGTTTGTGCAATAGTATTAAAGATTTTATTTAAATTTCGTTTAAAGGGGTTGTAAGCATAATTTTAAGTGGCCTTACATTTTAAAGGGGTCATTCACGATTCACAACGGTACCATTGAAGTACCTTTGACTGACCAAGGATGACAATCTTTTTTTCTAAAGAAACAATTTAATTGCAATTTCCGGCCAAGCTGTTATATATTTTAGGAATATTAACATGAAATTTACAAAAGTGGCAGAATATCAGTATTTACATTCAAATTATTGAAAACCGGTTTTAAAACAGTATATTTTTGGTTTTCTGGGGAAAAAAAAGAAGGTCACTTGAAATTCGCGCTAACGCTCCCTTTTTTTGTAATTTGGATGCCAACCAGGACTAGGGTTATTGTTAATTGTTTCTTTAATTATAATTGAAAAATTAGGTTAACCAATAAATGCCGCAAACTGTAAAAATCAAAGATGATCTTTAATTAAAAAGCATAGAGTAATAAAACGAAGAGGTAAAACTTAGCTCAGATGTACACAACCGACCTCCGTATTAATTGATTAATAGAGTGGTCGGTTGTATACATCACGATATGTTTACGTATCTAAATAACACTGTACACTTGTATAGAGAGTGATCGTATTTCTTTGGGGTGGTAAAATGTAGATAATTGAAAGTTAGTATTGATAATTAAATAGACAATTAATATGGATTATAAACACAGGATTGTATACTGCAGTACATTCCATTTCAGTATTTTTTTTTTAATAAAAGTATCAACAAATTTTGCATCGTGAAAAAGTGCACAAACAATTCTTCGTGGCAAAATGTCAGTTTTTTCAAAATACCAAAACATTGTGCATGGCTAGATCTTTAGACTTCACCATATACCCCTCAAGTTGTATTTGCTCAAACCATTTAAAGAAGGAGATATTAGTCAGGGGAAAAACCAAGTTTGAAGAAAATGCAACACAATTGCTCTCAACTTTAGGTGAATATAAAAATGAATTTACAGTATTGTTTAACTTAAAATGTTTTAATATTTAACATAATTTAAAAAAAGAAGTCGCAATTAAAGATGTGTGCGCATCGTTTTTTTTCAGTTTATTTGTTTATCATTTGTTAACTACCCATCCAGTTGTTTTTTCAGTACTCCAGTATAAGTTTGAATTTGTTTGTTCACAGAATAACAGGCGCCCAACTATGGGGTGGCAATGGGGGGGGGGAAGCCCCCCCCCTCTTAAGAAGAGTTGAAGAGAAGAAATAATAAAAGTGTTTTAAATAAGAATGTTATTCAAGTTTTGAGCTAAAGGCATGCCCATAGAAACTTAATATTTTTGCAAGAACTTTTAGCTAATAAATTGAAAACCTACAAATTTGAAAATTGTCAAATGTTTGCAGTCAACATCCTCGAATTCTCTTTGAATCTCAGAATATACAGGGTGTCCCACATCAAATTAGACTAATGAGACTTCGCCATTTTTGCAGACTCAAAAATACTAATTGCTAATACTGTTTAAAAATGAATAACTTTCAACTTATTAATTTTAAATAGCTTATGAAATAAATAATTGAACAAAGGAATTGAGTCTTTGACAAAAACTTTGCTTTTCTAAACCCTATATCTTTGGATTCCAATGTCGTAGATCTTAGATATTTCAAACTATGAATTCTGTTAGATCAAATCATATAAGTTTGAAATATCAAAGATTTACAACATTGGGTTCCAAATATATAGGTATTATAAATTCAGAGTTTGTGGCAAAAACTCAATTCCTTTTACTATTTTTTTTTGCTATTGAAAGTTTAGTAATTTCTTGTAGAAAGGGCTGTGCTCCCCCCCCCCTCACTGATATTGCATTTTAAACCATGGAGGTTTAAAGGAACTACGACTTACGAGAGAAAAGAGTTAAAAGTTTTTATAAACAAGGTTTAAAATTTGAATGGACAGGCTTGTTGGCCAAGCGCTGTGGCCACCTTAAAGGGAGTGTTCGCGAAAAATTCAAGGGGGTGTAGGCCTAATGCGATAAAAAGCGCTTTTGATCGCTACTAATCTTACTTGTATCTGTTGCGTCTATAAGGAGAAAATTGTTAAAAACGACTAATACCGAAGAACGTAGTGTCCATACAAATTCAGAAAGATGCAACATACGACCGTAAAAAAATCAATTTAATTTCAAACAAATCATTCAGATATTACAACCTTATAGTCATCGATTATCTTTCGCCACATTTGTATATAGTTGATTTTTCATAATATGTTTTGATTTTAGTTTTTAAAATAATATTTAGCTTGCAACTTGTTTTCGAACATTCCTGGAAAATATGAAAATGTCGTCTTCACTACCAAAAATCCTCGAAACAGAAATAAATGTTTTTATAATTTATGTTCTCAGATCATAACAATTAAAACATATTAGGAAAAATCAACTATATACAAATGTGGCGAAAGATAATCGATGACTAGGTTGTAATATATGAATGATTTGTTTGAAATTAAATTGATTTTTTTACGGTCTAAGTCGTATGTTGCATCTTTCTGAATTTGTATGGACACAACGTTCTTCGGTATTAGTCGTTTTTAACAATTTTCTCCTTATAGACGCAACAGGTAGAAGTAAGATTAGTAGCGATCAAAAGCGCTTTTTTATCGCAAACAACCTATACCCCCTTTCATTTTTCACGAACACTCCCTTTAATGTGCCATTTTTTGCATGGTATGGTCGGTAATTACTTTACATTTGAGGTTACACAGATAACAAGTTTGGCCAAGTACTGTGGTCATCTAAATGCGAAAAAATACATTTCTGTATTTTTTTGTAGGTAATTTGGCCTTGCTGGGGCCCGAAGGGAGGGGAGGGCGCGGAAAATTTGCACCAATTATTTTCATTTTGTTTTGGTTTTCTGTTTCACATTTTGTAAGGAAGAAAGCTATTTGAAGTTTGATTAATCGACGTAAAGATAAAAAGATCACAAGAGAAAGTTTGGAAAGTGAATCTTCAAAATCCCCCCAAGATTACTGAACATCTAGACATTTATGTATTGTATTGCATAACCTCCACAGTCCAACACTTCCCAAACCAAATGCTGCCACCTGTTATTCTATAGTATAAGAAAATGTATTAAAGAGAATTGATTTCATTAAATACGAATATTAAAAAAGAAATTTTTAAAGAGGAATACTTAAAGTGGGTTAACTAATGAGGATTCATTAGAAAGTATTGATTAATGAGTATTAACTATTATGAGGAATAATTGAAAGGATTCGTTAATGAGGATTTATTTAATTAAGTATCAATAACAGAAAATTTACTAAAGAAGATTAATGAAAAAGAATTGATTATTGAGGATTCATTAAAAAGGAAAAATTATTGAAGATTAGTTAAAGAGGTTAAATTTAAGAGGAATAATTAAGTAATTAAATTAGGATTGATTTAGTACAGAGCGTCCCATATCATATTAGATTATCTCCAATACGCACATAATAATCGAAAAATCTAGCATTTTCTGCAAAAAAAATTCCATTAGCCTTATTAAATTTTTTTTAATGATTTATTCTTCTCAAATTTTCTGATTTGTCCCCCAAATCGTAATAGACCCATTGACGCGGTCTAATTTGATGTGGGACACCCTATAGGATTAATCAACTTATATAAATTATTAAAATATTTTTTACCTCCGGTTGTCTTCTTGTCTGCCATCTTGCTCTTGGGAATGATTTTGAATAAGTTGATATTATCTGATGAAATGTTCATTGGACACTAAAACATTAAACGAGATATATTTGGATTATGAACTTAAACGAACTAGTGGTGGTTCGGGGNTAAGGCATTCCACACTTTTTTTTTGCCCGACCACAAATGAAGTCGTAAACACAACTTCACAGCATTGCGCTTACCATTTCTGGAAGAAAAAAAGGTTGGACGGAAAAATTATTTGTGGTGCGGACGAAGAAGGTTACGAAATTACGAAATTAAAGACGGGATCGAGAGATATGTCCATTTAATCATTCCTGGCTAGGGTTGCCATATTTTCGATAAATCTCTGAAGCAAAACTACGACAAACGATTCGAAAAAGAAACAGAAAACGAAAATTCAGACCAGTTTCATTGACCTATAAGAAATTAGTAAATATTTTGCATGGCCACTTCCAAAGCACATTTTCACGAATTTTAAATGTTAACCCTATTCCTACCAAGAAAAGCTCTTTTTTTTGGGGGGGGGGCACAGCGCCCCTCCTCCTCTATTTATTATTGAGATACTTTAATACTCTGCAAACAAAAATCCAAACTGATGGACTTCTAACATTTCTAAAAAAGTTATTAGGACTTAAAAAGGTGGACAAGAGAAATGTATTATTTTCGTTGTGGATTCAGGATTTTCTATAGAATTATTCTATTTATATTATTCTATTATTCTATTTCTATTATTCTATTTCTATTGTTCTATTATTCTATTTTGTTACACGTTTATCAAAGAAGAAAATGAAATCCAAATAAAAGTTTATACTGGAAATGATTATAATAAGCACATAATAAAAATAGATATTTTATTTGTTAAAACCATCACAAGGTGGAATTTCACAAAAAGTTTTGATTCCCATTTTTGAATTTGTTGACACTCATTCAATTTTGTTCAGCCATATAAGACGTGCGTCGGACAGTCCTAATTTGTTCGTCGGACAGTCCTAATCTGTTCGTCGGGCAGTCCTAACCATCAACTCATGGGATTATGGTCAGCCTTTGTTTCTGATTTTATCTAATCAGGAAAAAGGACGAAAAAAGGCGATTATTCCACTAATGTCTGGTTATCACTGTAAACACATTAAACACTCTTGTATTGATGTATATAGAGTTGAAGGATGTCTAACAGAAACTTCAGTAATCTTCAGAGATATGGGGTTACCCATAGAGGATCAGACTTTAAGGAAGATCTTACACTCTTTCAATAAGACAATTAAAAGTTATAATTTGTGGTGCTGTGGGAAATAATGACGACTAAATTCTGTACAGTCGTCTCTGAAGTCTCATCCTTAAAAATAAAATGATCACCAAAAAACTTCTAGAATAAAGCTCCACATCTATAGAAAATAACTATTA